TTATCTAAACAGTCGTGCATTTGCTACAGATACGAGTGGAATACTTAGCAGATATACTTAATACTCGCAAATAATTAATTTGTTTACATTCAATTTAAATAGTTTTAATTGAAATATAATTGAAATGGAACGTTGGCAAAATCGCGTCGCTGTCATCACCGGTGCCAGTTCTGGTATTGGTGCCGCTTGTGCCAAGCTAATTGTAGCCGCGGGCATAAAAGTCGTTGGACTTGCACGCCGCACGGAACGCATGGAATCACTCAAAAATTCATTAACGACAGAACAGCAGAAAAACTTTTACTATCGTCAGTGTGATGTATCGCAGGAGCAACAAGTACAAGAAGCATTTGAATGGATTGAAAAGCAATTGGGTGGCACTGATATACTAGTGAATAATGCAGGCATCATACGTGATGGTAATTTAGTAGAAATGCCAATGCATGATATAAAGGATGTGGTGAACACTAATTTCATGGCTCCCATTTATTGCACACAGAGTGCGTTTAAAAGTATGCAAAAACGTAGTTTTCCTGGACATTTGATTTTCATTAACAGCACAGCTGGTTTAGCCGGCTACAATCCAGGACCAGACTATCCCAGTTTAAATGTGTACACACCAACAAAATTCGCTTTGAATGCGATTAATGAAATTTGCAGACAAGAATTAATGACACTGAAGACTAAAATAAAAACAACTGTAAGTGGTAGTTTTCCAAGCAATTTGTGATAACAATTTATTTTCTTATCATTCCCGCTTTTTTGGTTCTATTTTTTTTTTTCATTTTGTATTGTAGAATATCAGCCCAGGTTGGGTATCAACAGAAATTGTGCCAGACGAGACGAAAACTGAATTGGGCGATGTTATATTACAAGCTGACGATGTTGCTAATGCAGTGATATACGCACTGTCAACGCCACCACACACTCAAGTTCAAGAGATAACATTGCGAGCTGTGGGAGAATGGTATTGAGTTTAAAAAAAACGTATCTGAGTAGAGTAAAGTAATTTTTACGAATGCGAATTTATTATCTTAGTACCAATCATCTAAGCAAATGATTTTACTTTAGGAATTATAATTTTACACAACATTAAATTCTCAATAAAATATATGTACTACATATATACTTTAATAAATAAATAGTTTTTATTATTATTATCTCTACTATAATTATAATATAGGCAGGTTATTAAACATTCAAGTTAAAAGGCTTTGCAAGAATTTATGTTTTTACACCTCATTTAAAATGCATGTAAATATGATTTCTCAAGATACGGACGTTAAAATTATTGACTTGATATATCAAGTGAATGTACGCGCTTAAGATCACAACACCAAACACAAATTTTCAAATTAAAAACTAGTAGTAATATTACAGCAATTTCAATAAAATCATCAACAGCACTATATTTGCATATGAATGACCATTTAAATTGATTTCATGTATATTGTGAAGTAAACCCCTTTTTCAATTTACGCAAGCAGTTAGTGCTCAGTGAAAGTCTCCACTAATATCATCAAAAATATTTAATAAAAAGAGATGTTAAAAATAGATTAACGAACAGCACCAAAAACGATTTATAAATTCAAAAAAAATTCCCAACGTCGCCCAAAAAAAA